AACTTTCTATTCGTGGAATAACGCATCTGTGCTTTCTTAAGATGAAAGAGAAATTCTAGCGAATTCCTGGACCAAACGGCGGACAATGGGGACCCGCCTTAAAGCGTTTTAAAGCATGACCTCGGTCCACGAGTTTAGCGGTCTACCTGGCCAGATACCAGGGACCACCAGGTGCGACCTTTTCAAGGCAACCCGATGGTCCCGCCCTCGGCCCAGAATTACCTGCCACGGGAACTCGATTCGCCTCGAAAAACATATTTCCAAGTTACTCACCGTTCGGACAGGTGAAGACGTTCGTGGTAGGAACCTGTAACAAAGAAACGTGGAAAACGTGTTAGAAACGGTTTTACGACGCTGTAACTCTCTTTCATGTTGGTTCACATATTTTCATTTTCGATAAAGTGACAGGAATTTGTAAACAATTCGAGAACGCACTCTTTTCCTTGTCCGATTTTTTCGCGGGGGAAAATTTCTTTTTCTTTCTTTTTTTTCAAATAATTTTTGAGAAATCTGAAAACTTGTACACTCACAAGAAAAAGTATATAATTGGATCGATTTATCAATTTTATTATAATTTTAATATAAAATAGAATGTTCGTTTTAAAGGGATGAAAATGAATGAATTCTATTACACATTTCTTACGAGGAAAGTAAACAATTCGTTACAATTGTTTTCAATAACGAATTAATCGAATTAATAAAGTGAATCGGTCAAACAATTTTTTATCGCTTCCACAAATTTATTTCGACGCTGAAGAGGTTTGTATGTAAATCGGGAAATATCCACAGAATCGTTTCTTGTTCACCCGATTCCCATCAATAATTAATTCCATCCAACGTAACAATATCGCCGCATATCGTACAGATTTCTCTGAAATTTTAAAAAGAAAAAAGAAAGAAAGAAAATGATATTTCGCACGTCGCCTCGAGGACATTTATGGTCGAGAACGTGGGATTTAAGTTTCGAATCGAAGAGCAAGGAAGAGCGCGGGAAACGCGAGTTACGTCGATTGCATAAAAGAAACGAGGATGCTCACGCTGCCACGTGACACTTGGAAGAAAGTTCCTTTATTCAATCTTATTTTTCGAAGATTTTTCCAATTTTGAGATTTGAAAGATTGTTTTCTAAATTTCTTTCCCTTCGAAAATTTTTTTTTTTTAAGGCTTCGAGCTTTTTAAGATTTCGAAGATTTTTCTCCTTTACAATTCAAATCAACCTTAACTAAAAAGTTAAAAATTTCAAGATCATTCGAGTCGGATATTTTTGCAATTTCGAAAATTGTTTCGAAAAATCGTTCGACAAAATATCAAATCGATAGAGATCAAGGACTATTTCTAAATATTTAAAGAAACAGAAAAACAAATTCTGAGAAATCATTCGGTTGAATTAGAAATGGCGATCTCGAAATAAACATTTTTGTCTTCGTGACTTCTGCTCGTGCTCGTCGGATCCATGGATGATCTCGAGTGATGCGGATCGAAGATAGGACAGCATTGTTATTCCACACGGGTGAAAGTGAACGAGGCCAATCCAGATCTTTGTTTTGCGTTCATCCTCGCCGGAAAGCGTGGATCCGTGCGTGGAACACGAGAGGCCGGGCTCCTCGTGAGTTTTCTTCGCGTACCAGAATATCAGTGACATAACGGTGCGCTGCATTCCGAGGAGAGGCGCTCGTGAGAGGAGAAACGGAGGCCGATGGAATTCCACGCGGACAACCGATTGCTGGTATGCCAAAGGATCTTTCCTTTGTACCACTTTCATGCAATAAATAAATATATCTTATTTTGTATCCCAATATCGCGTACATATAACGGGTGTTCGATTAGAAGTGATTGAATTTTCTTACGAATCGTTGCACCGTTTTTTCGATCATTTGAAATTAAAAAATTTTGAAATATCGATAGGTACGTAGTTTGTCGAATTAATTTGAAACTTCGTTGATAGAAAATTGCCAAAGAGAAGCGTATTATTAGTCGAACAGTTGACCTAACCTCAAAAACGGAACGTAAAATAGAATTTTAAAATAATTTCGAATTTTGAAAATCTCTGAAAACTGTCGAAAATGTTATAAAATTAAAGAAAAAACTCGTCCAATCATTCTTCTTGAACAAAAATATTAAATGGAATATTTGTTTTAACTTCAAGAAGATTAAAAGAAGAAGAAGAAGAAAAACGATCTTTCTCGTTGACACTTCTTATATATCGAAAAATATTGCAACGGTTGGTAAGACTGGTTGCCCGTCGAATAGGGCACACGCGTGTATGCTTGCCTACACGCGGGCTGAAATTCACTTTCACCTCTCACACACGCCACACACTCCACGTCCCGGGCAAACGGCCAAGCAACTGGTGGCGACTCCCGTGGACCCCGTCAATTACTTCGTAATCCTTGGCTCAATTTCTCGAGGAGAATCCTAGGAGAGAAACCCCCCTCCTCCTCCTTCTTCCGCATCGAGATCATATTTTCCGTATCTCGATTATCTCTTCGCGTGTCGACGAACAATTCTCGAATTGTATCTCTTCAGGATACGCGCCTTGTATTCGATACGATTTCTGTATTGGATTGGACTTTGAGAAATTTGAAAATAAAAGTTGAATAAATTTAATTTTTTGTTTATTCCTTTATGAGATCTTTTCATTGGCAAATTTTCTCCACATTCTACGATTGTTCACTTCATTTCTCGAGTCAGAATAATTCGCGATATTTGTCTCGAAAAAACTGTCATCATCATAAAGTTCTATAAATCCGAATTCCATCGAAATATTCTACTCTGAAGTGAGAAACCTGAATCGAAACAATCCGAGCCGCGAATCGAACTCGAGTAGAAAGATGAATACGAGCGAGTTTCGAAAATAGGAACGGTAAATTTTCGACCCGATTTCGATGGAGAGAAAGAAAAAAAGTTGCGCGTAGAAAGAAGCACGCGAAACAATGCCGGCCGCGATGTCATCGAAAAACCATAACGGAATAATAATCGGCCGCTCACCTGGGACCCCGTTAGCTGAAGATGGCACAAGAGGACGGCGACCCACACGGCCGCCAATTCTCTTATCAGCATATTCCTGCAACAGAGAAGAAAAGAGTCTCGTTTCAACAGGCTGTTGTTCGTTAACATCGCTCGTTCATTAACATCTGGTTAAAGAGAACACGGGGAGAGAGGGAGGGAGACGAGTGTTTGAACAGCAATGTGTGGCACGAGGACTTGTGCAAAAGACCTTGACACTTTCGAAATACATTGGAAACGATGCTGTTGAATATAAAGGTGTTTTTATTATTTCCTTCTTTTTTTTTTTTTTCAAATTCATCTGTGTTTAATTAATTTCACACAACCTTCTTCTTTTTAATCATTAATGATATAATGACATGTGTTGCGCGCTTATTTCATCATATAGATCACGATTCAATTTTTCGATCGATATCGAATATTTTTCGATTCTCTTTTGAACGAGATTTCTTTTTTAATCTTTATGGGAGATAGAGACGATCGTACAAAGGGGAGAATAATTAGAGAAAGTGAAACCGTTTCAAAGAAAAGCCAGCCATCTTTCCATTGTCCATGAAAGGATAAGCTTGATATTCGAGAGATCTGTTAAATAACTGTGAAACTGCGGTTGATAAATAAATTTGGTAAGAAAAATTCTTTCTTTTTTCACGCTCCTCGCGATACTTTTTCATCTCATTCACAGGGACGATTCGATCGAACTATGTGATCGAAAATTTCTTCAATGGTTAAATATTATTAGTCCGATGTTTAACGATGCTTATCGCATGCCTACGAAATATGCGGAAGACAAAGTTGATCTATGTATAGGGTATACACCGGTTCCCATAAAATTCCTTACGGTTTCTGCGGCTGAATTGTGGCACACCAGTTTGCATACCTTACCGCGTAACCGAGAAGCGTGATAAATCTCCGTGGACATCGACTTATTATTTAATAACGTTGCACTGTACCGATCACTTCCCAACAGAGAGATTTACGCCGCTTATTCCGATGATAATCGATCGTTAGACTGATCAAAATACCTTTTCGAACACCTTCCATAGCCTTCCTCCATTCCCAATTAAAATTCTCGTAAACCAAGAAAGAATCAGGAAAAAAAAAAAAAAACGATTTATCAACTACTATCTCGATCAACTTTATCAAAATCCTTAAACAGCAAAATGACAAAGCAAAATTCTTTATATCTCAAAATCCAAAATTGTATTTTATTATTAATCACCTCTACGAATTCAAAATTCCTTTTGAAAGAAGAAATCCATCATCTTCAAATCAAAATCAACTACCAAACTACCAAAACTACCATTTTTACCAAATTTCAACCATCCTTATTTTTCACTATTCGCATTCCAAGATCCAATATAATTTAAAAAAAGGAAAGGAGAAAAGAAAAATAGGAAAAATACGAGACGATCCTCCGGAAACACGTTTCCATCGGAGGAAACCCCTCCAAGAACGAGCGAAGCAAACGAAGCGCGACAGGAGGCCAACGACTTCGATTTCCCCGTTGAATCCGCCACGTGAACGGCGCGTTGGTCGCGGAGTTTATATACGCACACACTCCCCGTTGGGAACCGTTATACAGCCACCGATAATCGGCAGAGTCGCGGCGAGGCGAAGGTGGCGAAGAAGCGTTTGACTCGGCCAGATTTCCCGCAAGCGTAATCGTAATCCCCGTAGGCCTGGCCAGCCTAGACGAAACCACCACTTCCTGTTCGATCGCGGCTAACGGGTTCTTCCGCCCGACCGGTCCATCCTTCGCTCCGAATAAATAAATGAATGTGAATCCGGCGATTAGGAGTGGCGACCTAATTACGATACAAAGTAGTGGAGTAGGGGAAGCAGCAATCAGTGGTTGCTGGTTCCTTCCTAGCCGGTGGACTGGTACCGTTATCGTTATCGCTCGTCCTCTGCATTGCCTGTCTTCTGTTTTAATTAAAATCCGTTCGTGAATGGACGGAGGCATGTTGATAGAGCGGTATGTTGGGTTTAGTGATTTCTTTTGGTGATTTTTTTTTTTTTAAGGAATTTATGGAATTTAATGTTAGTTGGTTGCTGTGGAATTTGGAAAATTGGATTTAAATGGATTTAAATGAGTAGGGGGAATAGGAAGGGGTGATTTGGAGGGATGGAACTTTGGAATTTTGGACTGGGGAGTTTATTCGATTTCTTTCTAATTTTTTTTTTTAAAGTAATGTGAAAAATGATTCGCTGAAAGTATAGATATTTTTCGGTTAAATAAAAGTATTTAAATAAATTTTTGAAACGTATATTTTAATATAGATATATCGTGGAGTAGAATTTTATAAAATAATTATTTATTTTATTCAATAATTACTCTCTTTTCCATTAATTTATCGCAGTACTCGTTTGCTTATCAAAAAAAAGGTTAATATATTCTTTTTCTGCGAGGTTTACTAATTAGTTTCTTTTCGAAACCTCTTGCCTAGTTTCGGTAGAAGTAAAAGTATTTTTACAAACTTTTTCCTCAATATTCGCTTAAAAGTTGGTGATGAATGAACGAGGGTCAAACTTCTTTTGAAGTGTTTTATCCTTAACTTAGAGAGCATTAATATTCTCGGCAAATAGAAAAGACGGTGACGAGATAAATTAACATGCTTTCACGAATTTTTTCAAAGTTTCTATTTACACATTCGTGCACGAGGATATTCTTACGTAGGAATTTAAATTATTAATTCTATTCATCAGATTATTCTATTCACGTTTAAGAAACGTTAATTAAATTTATATTGTCATTCAGTTATACGAATATCAATTGTATATGATTAAATCCACTTATCCGAATTTAGACTCCATTTACTCGAACGAGAAGTTAAAAATAACGAATATAATTGGAGGATTTCTACGAATTTGCCCAGTTATATAAACTGTTTACTTCCCATTAAGTTTATTACAGGTTTTAATTGCTTCTATCTTCATCATCTCTATCCCCATCTCGCTTATAATTTAATAAACGAACTTGGACATTTTTGCATACCAAGTTTTTTTTCATATTTACTTCAATCTTTACCATCCAAAGATGATTGAATAAATTAATATTAATTTTTAATATAAAGTTACCTATACATTTCTTATTGTTATATAAGATTACACTTATGTAATTGTTCCATCAATATTCAATATTTCAAACTTCGATGTCGATTCGTTCACGAAAAAAGGTTAACGTTAATTTTTCAACAAAAATTATCTACACAAGTTTCATCATTACTTCATGAAACGGACTTCCACGATATCGTTCAATAAATATCTCGAGAAGCATTCAAAAACCTGTTTACCAAATCTTTAGATCCACGGATTATTCGATTATTTCTCATCGACAATATTCAACTGCAACTGCTGCCTTTTTTTATCATTACATAAATTGCATTTCCACATTATCCGATCGTATTATTCAACAACTCATCTCGACGATATCGAGAAGCTTCGAAAACCTGTTACACAAGTCACCAAATCTTCCAATTTACGAATTATCCCACAATCTCAATCGACAATATTCAACTTTGATTCTCCAAATGGTTAACGTTAACTTTCGACGAAAAGTATCCACGGATATTTCATCGTAAAATAAAATTCCACTATATTTGAAAACCTGTTACAATCTTTACCAAATCTTTCAATTTACGAATCAACCTCAATTCAACTTTGATTCCACGAAACGTTAACTTTTAACGAAAAATATTTCATCGCATATTTGAGAACCTGTTACACAAATCTTTCAATTCTTTAATTATCCCATAACTTCAATCGACAATATTCAACTTTGATTCCACAAAAGTCAACTTTCGACTTGGAAAAGTATCCACGATATTATTCAATAACTCATCGTGGAGAGGCTTTATCGAGAACAGACTCGTTACGACGAGTTGCCAAGCCTCTCCAAACCACGGGAGAGACAAGAAATCCGGACGTTTGCACGTGCACGCACGCAGGGTACGCGCGACGAGTTCTCTGCTAATTGCGAGCGCGCGAGTGACGCAATCGGGCTCGTGAGAAGCGCGGCGCACACCCACGCCTCGTGGAAACCCGGCGAGCGAAACTTTATTATTATTTCGCTCGGGAGCGGTTGATTATTTCGCCCGGTGGAAGCGCGCCTTTATGCAACGCTCCATTGTTCATCGCGATTGCGAAGACGAGGCGCGCAATCGGCCGACCAGATGGGCCCTGTTTTTGCAAATTTTCCTGGGCTGATCACTATGCAAGCAAGAGAATTTACTTCGACAATTTTAGGCATCGTGTATTTCTTCTCGTTTATAGGATTGTTTGTCGATAATGGTAATTATTATCTTACTAATTTTTTCACGATGATGTTAATGTTAAATTCTTTTAGCAACATCGTTATTATTAATCGGTTCGTTGAGTTAATTGTTATTGCATTTTACACGGTGTGTATAATTTTGTAGTTATTTCGATGTTAATGGAAAAAAAATGTATGGAAGATATTTTTTTTCCTTTGAATGCTTTTGAAAAATAGAGTAGTAGTAGTAGTAATAGTTTATAGAGTAGAAAAAGAGGAAAACTCGACGAGGCAATCAGAGTATATCAAATTAAACGTTCCTCTTCGTGTTGTTGCTCCTTCCGCGTGTACGAATTACCCTCGATTTACAAAGTAACTCGTTACACTTGTTTATCAATTTGCAGTATAAATTCGCAGGCAAGAATTTAATTTATAGCAATTAGAAAATCGATGAATTCAACGGAAGGAACGAAAGAGACAGAAATCGAGAAAGAAACTGAGAAATCGAGGAAACTTGTAAGAAACTAGATATGGGGAATCAAATCGTTCCGCAACAGAGGAAATTTCGACACATCCTGAGAAATATTTCGTTATACAGTTCATAATAATAAAAGAAACATCAAGAGACAGCCAAGCCATCGTTGTAAAAACTAATTAAGTCGAAAATGCTTTGGTTCATGGCTCGTCAACGAATTAGAATAATCACGGTGGATTACAAGGTGTCCGGCAAAAAAAGAAAAAAAAAAAGATAAACTGAAGGGAAATCAGGCGGCTGTAGGTCAGTACTAGAAAGTATTCGGATTTCC